AGTTGTCCCTGCAGAAAATTGACAATGCTTGCCTCTGTAAATGCATGACTTACTGTCAAAGCTTCATTCTTGGCTGCATGTTAAAAATGTGATTAAAGTTAATACAGGAGATGAAATAAGTATTTGAGATTTCTTTCAATAACACTGAACTTCTGCCAACTTTCTCTGTCTGCTACTGTACACTTGACAGGTTCATCAATCATCCTCTGGTACCTGGACTTAAAGAGAGCACTTGCTGACACCAAGGCATGTTGGAATTTTCTTAATTCTCTTTCAGCGGATGGGGGAAGGAAAAAAATGAAAACCCTTCCAAAAATATCCCATACGTGAAAGGGGAGGGGAACCTGAAATGAAAATTCCCTTTGTATCCTAGGCAGTTTGTGGAATACCATTAATTGCTGGTGTACCATTGAACACATGCCATAGCCAAGAAATGAGGTCTGCGGTGGAACAAGAATATCCTCTGAACTTGTGATTGCCCAGCCTGACCAGCAACGATTTCTGATAGTTTTTGTATGTTTCCTATAAATAACAAGTACCTCATGGGTTTACATAAAGGACTTTATAAACTTAAATGAATGGATGGACTTAAGTTTTAGAGATTAAAACACTAAATTATTTCTTTGTAACACGCTTAACTGTTACTTCTAAAAAAGTAGATCAATTTATCTTCCTTTTGATCTTCATTTTTTTTGTGGTGAGCTTTTACTTCTGTTCCCTAGATTCCAAGCCAGTTTTCATATATATTTTATTTATGTATGAGAGGACTTCAAAAAGTTCATATAAAATGGCAATAGGATGTTGCCACGAGCTTTTAGAAGTCCCCTGAGATTAAAAATTAAATTTATAATTCTATAACTTGTAACATAACTCACACTGCCGTTGAGCTAGCGCCAAACTCACAGCAGCCTCACACAGGATTTCAAGGCTGTAAATTCTTATGGGAGCAGATGCTCATCTTTCTCCTGCACAGTAGTTGGTTGGTTTATTCAAATGAAATAATCAAATGCTGTTTAATTTTAAAGTTCTGTATAAGTATCTTCATTGTTTTACACATCTAAGCATTTTCTACTATTTTATTATGATTTCTGAGTTGTGTGGGGTTTTTTCTTACTTTTAAAAGTTTAATTGGTACTTCATCCACATATTTAATTCAATAGTTCGATCACATCAAGAAGAGTTGTGCATTCATTACCATAACGAATTTTAGAACATTTTCTTATCATACTCATTGTTATTCATGTATTTATTTATTAAATATTAAAATATCATTTTATTGGGAACTCTTAAAACTCTCATAACTATCCATACATCAATTTTATCAAACATATTTGTACATATGTTGCCATCATTCTTTTCTTGACATTTACTTTGTCTTGAGCTCTTGGTATCAGCTCCTCTTTTTTCGCTCCCTCCCCCACTCATGACCCCTTGATAAATTATGAATTATTATTTTCATATCTTACACTGACCGCTGTCTCCCTTTCCCCATGGTTTCTGTTGTCCGGAGGAAGGGGGTGTGGTTATGTGTCGATCATTGAGATTGGTTCCCCCTTCCTTCCTCTCTCCACCTTCCCCCTACCCTTGTGGTATTGCTATTCCCATTCCTGTTCTTGGATTCTGTGTGTCGTGAGCTTTTATCTGTACCTGCGTACATGCTCCGTTCTAGCCGGAAGTGAAAGGCAGCACTGGGAATATGATAGTAGGGATGAGGAAGCCTCAAGGAACCAAAGGAATATTGTGTTTCATCGGTACTTTACTGCACCCTGGTTGACTCTTCCCTTCCCTGTGACCCTTCAGTGAGGGGATGTCCCATTGTCTACAGATGGGCTTTGGGTCTCTACTTCTTCCCCCTCATTCTCAACAAAATATTTTGTTTGTTTGTGTATTATGGTCTTCTGATACCTGTTACCCCATGTGTGCTTGTTCCATGTGGGCATTTTGCTTCCCTGCTAAATGGCCACTTGTTTAACTTCAAGCCTTTAAGTCTCTAAATGCTGTATCTTTTGATAGCCGGCCACCATCAGCTTTCTTCACCACATTTGCTTATGTGCCCATTTTGTCTTCAGCACTTGTGCTGGGACAGTGAGCATCTCACATTGCCAGTTTGTTAGAACAAAGTGTTCTTGCATTGAGGGAGGGTGTGAACAGGGGCCTGAAGTCCATCCACTACCTCAGTGTATTGCCATATAAATATATGTACATAGGCCAATACCTCTATTTTTATAAATTAATGTATTTACAT